ACGTAAAACCTCAAACTATAAGAAACTTAGAAAATGCAGGAGACAACCTTATGGAAATTGTAACTGGCAACCAATTCCTGATCAAAACCCTAAGTGCCCATACCATAAGAAATAAGATAGACAAGTGGGACCTCATCAAACTGACAAGCTTCTGCAAAGCAAAATAAACCATCAAGAGAGCAGGAGACAGCCCACAGAATGGGAAAAAATATTTGTCAACTGTATATCCAACAAAGACCTAACATCTAGGATCTCAAATGTGTTGAAAGGAAAAAGCAAGCACCCCCATTAAAAAATGTGCAAAAGACATGAGTAGACACTTCTCAGAAGAAGATATATGGGCAGCCAACAGACACATGAAAATGTGCTCAGACTCACTCATCATCAGAGAAATGCAAATCAAAACCACATTGAGATATCACCTAACCCCAGTAAGAATGGCCATCTTTAATAAAACAAATAATAACAAATACTGGCAAGGATGCGGAGAAAAAGGAACACTTTTACACTGCTAGTGGGATTGCAAACTAGTGCAACCTCTTTGGAAGACAGTGTGGTGATTTATGAAAGAACTAGAAATTGATCTTCCATATGACCCAGCAATTCTCTTATTGGGAATATATCCGGAGGAACTCAAATCATTCTACAAAAGATACCTGCACACATATGTCTGTTGCAGCTCTATTCACAATAGCAAAAACATGGAACCAAACATGCTGCCTATCAAAGCTGGCCTGGATTAAAAAAACATGATACATATACACAATGGAATATTATGCAGCCATAAAGCAGGACAAACATATGGACTTTGCAGCAATTTGGATGAATTCAGAGTCGATCATACTCAGTGATCTATCATAGAAAAAAAGAACAGAGTGGCATATGTTCTCATTCATAAGCAGACCTTGAAAAATTATCATAATACTATAAGAAAGGGATTGGCAGTGGGAAACTACCAGGGGAGGGGTGATGGGATTGGCAGTTGAGGGAAACTGCTACGGGAGGGAGGGGCACACCTCATCAACAAGGGTACCTGCATAATCAACGTTTGTATACCTAACCCTGAACTGTATTCCACATCTTTAAAATAAAAAATGGATCAGAGTTGAGGAATAATGTTAGCCTTAGAAATATCAACAGAATTTTCTTATTTTTCAACATGCAAAAATTCACAAGACCAGCTTTGTCCTTATAAACTAGGGCTTAGATTAAGTTATCAAAATAATTTCTAAATATCAAAAAACTTTTCATTTTGAGAATATTTAGCTATTTTTTCCATACTGATGGAATTGTTATCTCTTATGTTCTTGAGAACTATTGGGATTAATAGTGTGGAGAAGACCAAAATGGATCATTTTACTTATACATTTACTGGAAGTGTTCCTCATTAAATATTCGTCTTGGTTACCCACAGAAGTTATGGAGTTTCTGGAGACATTTTAAATAGAAGAGATTCTTTTTAGCCACATTTTAAACAAGTCTTGCCTGCAGGCAGAGAAATGGACTAAATGATTTCTGGGCCTCTCTTTTTCTGTGACCCAGGCAGGCTTAGCACGGAGGCAGATTCCTTCGCATTGTCTCTGGACCAACAGGTCATGGGAAATCACTATGGCAACACTGCCTAGTCTCTGAGGGAAGATTGATAACAGAGCCAGAGCTAGGGGGCCTTCAGGAAGTACTTAAAGGAGTAAACAAATTGTAGGAGTTTGACTCTACTGACACATGAATATCACACCTAATGGGGTTGGCAAGCTTGATCTTAAGTGTATAGACTGTCCCTTAGTTAGAAAGGCTAATATAGACTGATTTCTGCACTTATTTAGTAAATATTTATTGAATAATGGTCTACATGCCAGAAATGTGCTCGGTAAGGGGATATAAAGATAAGCAGAGCATCGTTGTTCCTGACTTCATGGAGCTTACAATTCGATATAAGAGATAAATATTAACTAACTTTCCACACATAGGCAAGTATATAACTATAGATTGCTGGGCTCGGTGGCTCAGCCTGTAATCCCCGCGTCTTTGGGAGGCTGAGGTGAGTGGATTGCCTGAGCCCGCGGGTTCGAGACCCGCCTGGGCAGTGAGACCTCATCTCTACAATAAATCAAAATCAGCCGGGCGTGGTAGCGCGCGCCTGTAGTTCCAGCTACTTGGAAGGCTGAGGCAGAAGGATCGCTGGAGCCCAGCAGGTCGAGGCTGCGGTGGCCGGGAGCGGCCACTGCACTCCAGTCTGGGTGACAGAGTGAGACTCCAACTCAAACAAAACAAAACAAAAACAAAAAAAACTATAGATTGCGATGAGGTTTCTGAAGCAAATTATAGGGCATGTTGAGAGTGTATAAGGTAAGGACCTAGCTGGACGAAAAGGTGGTGGTCAGGATTTGGACTTGTGTGTAGGGATGAGGAAACTAGATAACCAGGTAAGACGACAGCTTTCTAAGGAGAAGCATGACAAAGGTCCTGAGGTTGCAAGGTGAGGAGATGAGTGGTCTAAAATGAGGCTGATAAGGCGTGCTGGGGCAACAGGGTTCACGTCACACATTTAGTCTTTGGCCACGGTGCAATGGGAATGCGTTGAAGGGTTTAAGATAGTGCGCTGGGGAGGGGAGTAGAATAATCAGATTTTAATTTTGAACAATTAAAATGGACTAAAGTGAGGAGAAGTCATTGAAGGTACACAAGGGTAGATATGCTGTAGTTGAGACAAGAAATGATGGTAGCTTGAACAGATGATCGCAATAGAGATAGGAGAAGTAGGTGGACTCCAGATCTCTTTAGGAGATTAAAGTGACAGTAGCTGGTGCTGGACTGGGGAAAGGGTAGGTGGAGTAGGGGAGTTAAAAACTCCAGGTTTGAGTATATTGTGGATTCCTAGACAGAGTAACAGAGGACATAGTTGGATTTTTAGATCGGATCAGAGGGATAGTTTGGAAGGTTCTTCTGGTCCCTCCAAACTAAGTGAGGAAAGAGTTTCCACACTAGATGTGGTAGAAAACAACATCTTAATTCATCTTGGCCGTAGTGTCCTGGAGAAAATTCCTTAAGCCTTCCTGAGTATTGGTCTCAGCCTTTGGATCATATCCAAAACATTCTGTGAAGGGAAGAAATCATATCCATCTTATTCCTTATTTTAGGCCAGAATTTATATAAGAATGCTCAACATATTCATAATATGTCTCCAAAATGTTTATAGATAAAAATTTGACAGCTATTTCCCCAAGAGTACAGAGAATAAGGCATGATGGCACGAAGGAGAAAAGTCTAGCAACCCATGCCTGAGATGCTTGATGCAGTGACATCCTGATATTTCTCTTCCCTTTCTCCCTCTCTCCCTCTTTTCCTCCCACACAGGTCTTGTGCCTTTGTTCACACTTATGCCTCTACACTTTGACCACCCACCTTCTTATTTAGTTAAAAACCCTTTTAAAGTTGCTTGGGTGAATATATTTGGTTTCATTTTGGAGTAATACCATGCTTGGTGACATTTGTTTTTGGATTAGATAAAAAAGGAAGTTAACAAACTGTAGCCACTTGAAAGAATGAATAAAAAACTCAAGTCTATGCAAAACAAAGAAAACAACACAACTAGACAGGCTCCCAAATATGACTAGAATGTTTGGAATGTCAACAAAGGAGGTTCTTTTAGATTCTAAAAGTCTTGGCATCCTTGGGAGGTCTGGAAAGTCAGGGAGCAACTTGTCATATATTCGGAAGCAGTGAAATGAACCCGAGATCTGGGAATTCAAGGTGAGAAGAGGCCCCAGCAAACAACACTGGTGAATTTCAGCTCCAAGAGTACGTTGTGAGGTGGTTAACTGCAGTCAGAATAAATCAGAGCTCCACAGGTCAACTGCCTCTGGGATGAGGACCAAGATGGGGATGGCCTCACAGGCAGGTCATGACAATCATTGAGCTAACTTTGCCTGAGAATTCTTCTGACTCTTGTGAGTTTTTCGTTTTCATGTGAAAATTATGAGTGTATCTTCTCTCAGAATTATGATACATATGTCCAGGTGGACTGATTCCATTGGTAATTTGATTTTTCGGTGACTGATATGTTGTAAACTTGAGAGGAGGAAATCGCCTCCCAACCAGATGTTTCCAGAATATGAATGAAAGTGAATAGACTTAATGATACCTTCACATGGACATGGTTTCAAGCAGCAAATATTAAATATTTTCTTCACAATACATTAAGCTTATGTGTGTGTGTTTGTGCACTCACACGTGTGTACTAGATTATTTCTCCAGCTCTTTTACACCAACATTTCTGCAGAAAATGTTGACTTCTGCACTCCTGTAAACCTTCAGCACACCTTTGCAAGTGGCACAGGCTGCTGGAATCTGGGGAAACATCTGTTTAGGGAAATGTTTCTTTTGGGTGGGGTGTGGACCAGGGTCAATCCAATTTAGAACCATGAATATGAACAAGATTCAGATCTAAGCTCACTGTAACTGTAGGCTAAAGAGAGCCTTTTAATTTCACTCTATGTCTTCATGGGGCTTCAGAGACACTTCAAATGCAGGGCTTCCCACCATTTCAGGTATATGCTGTAGCACATAGTCTGGGACTTGTTGTTTTTACAATCGACAGAATGAGCTAATTGTCCTATATTTTTCTTCTTTTGGAATACTTAGTGACATTGTTATTACATCTTTCTGTCAGAAAACTGTGTGTATATCAATGCTTACAGTGGCCTTGAATAGGATGTCCATCCTCTATAGCTCTCTCTAGAATAGAAAGACTTGTCTGGGAATTTCTCTACCAGCATCTATATACATATATAATATATGTTTTTTTCACTCCTTTTAGTCCTTTACATGTCTTTTTCTTCTCTTCTATATGCAGTTCTACCTAGTGTTTTTCTAGCTTCTACCAGTGTCACATAAGGCTTCATCCCCTTCCTTTTCCTGTCCCCATCAAAGCGTATCAGTTCTTAAGAGTTCTATTCTCAGCAAGATAACAGAACATGTCTACTATACTTCTGAAAATATTCTTTACTTATCTCTTAATATTTAGATAAGAGCCAATATCTAACGGCTAGTGGTTACCCTAAATGCTGGAAACTATAAGCATGTGGCAGGCAGTGCCAGAGATCGTTTTGGACAGGGAAGACTTTCCAGTGTTCTTACATCATGCTAAACAGGTAAAGCCTTAATATGGGGCAGGACTTGCCTCAGTGATGTGCCATCCTGGCCCTTCTTTTCAAAGAAGGCTTGAGAAGGGACCATGGGACATCACCAGTGGTGGTAGGAATGCCCCTCACTTCTTTTAAACAAGAGATGTATACTCTAAATGAGTCCCATTTGGATAGGGAAAGAATGGGATTGAAAAGGAGCCATGTTCTTGAAATCAGTCAATCTCATAGCCTGGGGCAGGCATTTGTGGTCAGCTGAGTCACACTGCCGTGGGATTAGCCAGCCCTACTTTCTGTTTCAACAATAAAAAGTCTTGCAAAACTGCTGGCATATGAGACAGAGGTATCCAAAAAGTCTTGGCATCTTTTCCAGCAGCATAACGAGTCTTAGGGAAGAGACTTGTTAGAGCGTGGTCCATGCACTCTACCACCAGAGAGAGATCCATGTTCACGAAGGTTCCAGTGCCTTTCAGCTTGTCTAGACCTAAAAAAGGAGACAAAAGCACATTTACTCCCTGAAAGAAGGAGAAAAGCAGAGTGGAAGGCTAGAGTACAAAAGAAAGAATGTGTGTGAGGGAATTTATTCTGAATTGGCCATTATAATTGAGGCCAGTGTGATGATTCTCTATTTCTTCTTCAGAAAAGCAAGTAGTGCTTTTTTCAGACTACTGCTCTCTAACTTTGAGGGCAGTGGAATCTCCTAGAGAGCTCACTGAAACCCAGATTCCTGGATTCCACCTCCAGAGTCTCTGACTCAGTAGGTATGAGGTGGGATCCAATAATTTGCATTTCTAACAAGTTTCCAGGTGATGCTAATGCTACTAGTTCAGGTATCAAACTTTGAGAACCACTGCTTTAAAGCAATGAGGGAAAGATACTTCATAAAGCTCATGAATCCCCTAAGTCTAGGATGTTATGGGTTTGATTTCTAATTTGTCTTAGGGGATTACTGTGTTTATAGAAAATGTGGATGTGCATGTGCTTGTGCGTGTGTGTGCATGCATGTGTGGATGCAAGAGTGCACTCATATATATCATATACCTCTATAATTCTGTGAATAAAGAGAGAATCATTCCCATATTCCCTGACTCAGGAAGCTAAAAGTATCTCAGGTCTCACGCAAATGAAGTGTTTGAGTAATGAGCTAAGGTACCTTTAGAGTGGCAGGTATTTTACAAGGGATCGGTAATGGTTTCGAACCCTAGTCTCTTAAAAAAACAGGGTTGGTGAAACTGGTTCCACATGCAGAAAAATGAAATTGGAATCTTATCTCACACTATATAAAACTCAACTCTAAATGGGTTAATGATTTTTTTTTTTTTTTTTGAGTTGGAGTCTCACTCCGTCGCCCAGACTGGAGTGCAGTGGCCGCTCCCGGCCACCGCAGCCTCGACCTGCTGGGCTTTGGTGATCCTGCCACCTCAGCCTTCCGAGTAGCCGTAATTACAGGCATGCGCTACCACGCCCGGCTGATTTTTTGATTTATTGTAGAGATGAGGTCTTGCCAAGTTGCCCAGGCGGGTCTCGAACCCACGGGATCAGGCAATCCACTCACTTTAGCCTTCCAAAAGTGCGGGATTACAGGCTGAGCCACCGAGCCCGGCTTGGGTTAACGATTTAAACATAAGACCTGAAATTATAGCACTACTAGAAGAAAGCATAGGGAAAAAGCTTCTTAACATTGGTCTGGGCAATTATTTTTATTTTTATTTTTTGGATATGACTCCCAGTGGGGTTGTATCAAACTTAAAAGCTTCTGCACAGCAAAGGAAGCACTTTAAAAAGTGAAGCAACCACCTATGGAATGGGAGAAAATATTTGTAAACTGATGTGGAGTTAATATCCAAAGTATGGAAGAAATGCAAACAACTCAATAGCAAGAAAATAAATAACCTGATTAGAAAATGAGAGAGGGATCTGAAAAGACAATCCTCAAAAGAAGATATAACAACAGGTACATGGGGGAAAAAATGTTCAATATCACTAATCCTCAGGAGACACAAATTAAAACCTCAATGAGATATCACCTCACACCTGCCAGAATGGCTATTATCAAACAAATAAAAGATAAAAAGTTTGACAAGAATGTAGAGAAAAGAGAACCCTTGTACACTGTTGGTAGATAGGTAAATTAGTATAGTTAGTATGGAAAACAGTCTGAAGGGTGTCCCCAAAATTCAAAGTAGAACCATCCGGTGATCCTTTCCTTTTCTTTTCTTTTTTTTGAGTTGGAGTTCCACTCTGTCACCCAGGCTGGAGTGCAGTGGCATGCTCACAGTCACTGTAGCCTCAACCTGTTGGGCTCAGGTGATTTTTGTACCTCAGCCTTCAAAGTAGCTGGAACCACAGGCACACGCCACCACTCCGGGCTAATTTTTAAAAAATTAATTATAGAGAAGAGGTCTCACTAAGTTTCCCAAGCTGGTCTCAAATCTCTGGGCTCAGGCAATCCTGTTGCTTCCTCCCCAAAGTGCTGGGATTATAAGTGTGAACCACTGCACCAGGTTCTATGATCCTTATTATACTCAAAACATACGTGAGATGTGACTTCCCAAGGGAAAATCTGTTATTTTAAAGTTTTCTTTCAACTTCAGGTTCCACTAACCCCAAGTTGTTCAAAGAACACAATAAGTCTTAATGGCTGTTTAAAATTTCTTCTACCCTAGACTGGAAAACGAAGAAAAGAGGACCTTAAATTTGTAGTCTACTTTAAGATTGAGAGTTTGGTCGATCTCTGGATCCTGACTTGAAAAACTCCAGTAAGAACCACCAGTGTAAAATTGGGTTCAATGCCTTTTGGTATTTCTGAGACAGAACACCTGCACCAGAGACCAAGTCAAACATAATTTGAGATGGAAGTTGGTGACGTATTCATAGGCATTTAAAAATATCAACGTTGACTGGGCTCGGTGGCTCAGCCTGTAATCCCAGCACTTTGGGAGGCTGAGGTGAGTGGATTGACTGGGCCTGTGGGTTCGAGACCAGCCTGGGCAAATTGGCAAGACCTCATTTCTACAATGAGTCAAAAAATTAGCCGGGCGTGGTAGCACACACCTGTAGTTCCTGCTATTTGGAAGGCTGAGGAGGAAGGATCGCCAGAGCTAAGCAGGTCAATGCTGGGGTGGCCATGAGTATGCCACTGCACTCCAGTCTGGGCAACAGAGTGAAACTCCAACTCAAAAAGTAAAAATAAAAACAAAAATATCTATGTTTATCAAACAAAGAGAACTCTTTTAAATGAGGAACTTTTTTTTGAAGTATCAAGTCTGAAGGGTTAAGCTCAGTCTTAGACTGAAACTGTCTAGAAACTTCAGAGTTAGTAAGTAAAAAATGGAGCATGTAATGTCAGCGGTTCTAAATCTACAGTGGTAGGTCAGTACAGGATGTTTGTCAAACCAGACACTTTAGTCGATATACACGAGACGGAACCCATCCAAAAGCAGAATTATCTTTTGGAGGGTGAGACTCTTGTAGTAGTACGCTTGAAATTTGTTCCTCCAGATCAAATCGTCAACCAAAGTTTTTATCTGGGAGTTTTGAGAAGGTTGCATCATGATTTGCAGAAGAAGCATCTGAGTTGTGGCAAATGAGTGACTGGTTCTTCCACCATGGCAACACACCTATCTAAACTGCACTGAATGTTCAACTGTTTTTGATTTTTAAAAAAATGGCACGACCCTGTGCCCCACCCTCTCTGTTCACTCACTCTCTCCCCAAGCAACTTTTTTTTGTTTCCCTGGATGAAAAAAGTCATCAAAGGGAAACATTTTGCTGATGTGGAAGAGGTGAAAGAAAAGATGGCAGAGGCACTAAAAGGCATCAAAACTGACAAGCTCAAAAACTGTTTTGAGCAGTGGAAAAAGCATCTTTTTAGTTGTATTACATCAAACAGAGAGTACTTTGAAGGTGACAAGTTTAAACATGTAAGAATAAATACACACATTTTTATTAATAAATTCTGGGGCTTTTTGTGTGGGTACGTGTGTGTGTGTGTGTGTGTGTGTGTGTGTGTGTGTGTGTGTGTGTGTGTTTGAGGTAGTGGTGGTTGGAGAGTTAGTCATTTTAAACACTTCTCCAGGTGGCTCTGACTTGGCTCTTGGCCCTACCTTGAAAACTCCTGACCTTGAACCTTGCCATAGTTGGCTGTCTCAAGCCCAGTGATCAAGAGGCAAGATCACAGTTTAAAGCAATAGAGTGACACATCAGGAGTTCAGTAAGTGTGTGAGGAATATCAAGTAAATTTTAACAGGGTCAGGAAGTTTGCAGAGGAAGGAGAGGATACAGGAAGTTTGACCGAAGTCCTTAGTGCCTTGTTCATATTATAATGCAGTGGCCTGTAATAAATTGCAGAGTCAGACTGTCTGAATTCAAATCTAGATCTTCCACTCACTAGCTGTGTAAGTCAGGTAAGTTACTCCTGTATGCTGCTATTTCTGCAAAATGAAGATGATAATAGTATCTACATCATAGTTTATTTGGGAATTTCAAATTGAAGAGTCCATGTAAAGCACTTAGAGTGGTGACAAGTACCTTGTAAATGTTTACTATATGTTAGTCACCATTATGTAAGCTTTATTATTACTCTTCCATCCCTGACTCAATCTCTTGACTTATGTTACCTCTCCTTCCATCTCTCCCTCCACATGTTCCTGCTCCAGAAAGTTTCCACCCAAATAATTCCTTCCTGTCCTTTAGGCCTATTCAAACCTGACCAGTCCCATTAAAGCTTTTTAGCTGCCAATGCTCTTTTCCTGGTCTGAATTCCCTAGGCAATTAGAGACCATACCATCCAGCACTGCTTCAGGGTTGCTGGGTTACAACTAAGAAGTGAAGGAGCAGTTTTCTTGTATGCTGTATAATCTCATGTTTTACAGTCTTATTTAGTTACTTTGGGTCAGTTAGATTATAAACTAGTTAAGGATCAGAGACTGGATCTTCTCTATCTTTTGTAACCTCTATAAATCCTTGAACAATGTTGAGTGAGTGGTTGGTGCTTAATAAAAAGAGGAGGTTTGGCTGAGATGAAGACTGTGGGCTCCAGGCCCTGGCATGACCAAGAGGAGTTATAACCTTGAGTAGGCCATTTCACCTTTCCAACCTTCTGCTCCGGACTCTAGCAATTCTTTTGAGGAGTAAATGATAAAAGGTGCTTAGCATGGAACTTGGCACTTAGTAAGTGGTCAGTAAATGCTTATAAACACTCAGAAAAGCAGGAGATGGCACTAAAATTAATAGGGATGCTGATCCACATTCGAGATTCTTATTGGTGTGTTACTCTGGGAACCTTGTGTTTTCATTTATGTTTGAGTCTCCTTCAAGCTGCCTAGGACAATGAATCTCAGATGACAGTGGGTCTGCCCAGAAACTCACTTTTTTCAATGTAACCTTCTCCATATTGTTGCTTGATGTCTGGAGACAGATGCTTCCAAATGGCAAGTTTTTTTTCCGCTGCCTTTACTGGATCTGACAATCCTGTTTTGAACAATCCTGGCTCAATGCATGAGACGTGCACACCAAAAGCTTTCATGTCCCGTCTGTGAAAAGAACCCATTGAAGATATTTAATCCAGGTTTATTTATAGAGCATTTGCTATTTGGGTGACTATTTACTCATGAATCTTTTCACGGAATCACAGAATTGGGTCCGTTGGGAAAAAGTATCTTGTTCTATCTTCTCATATTGCAGATGAGGAAACTGGGGTTCAGGATGGTGAGTGAGGGCTGATTAATGGCAGAACAGGAAGGGGATCTGGGTGGACCTATCCTCAGTCCAGTGTTCTTCTTCCTAAGCCATGCCCTCTTCCATAACCTCAGGAGCATTGGGTCAAGGCCAGGTTTCTCCTCAGTACCTAAAGTACCTGTGGTGAAATGGTCTCATGACTGGCCTGGATGGACAAGTTTACCTCCATTCTAGCTAGCAGTGTGAGGAGATTGCAGCAGAGATGTAGATATACCGAAGGACACGATGTGATAATCCCTGGCATGACTAACCTGCTCCCTATGCTGCTGAGTGAGCTTTTTCATCATATTGTTGCAGAAAATTCAAAGTCAACTCATTTATTGGACATTGAAGCTTTAGAGGAAATCTGGTGTCCCTTTTTTTAGAGCAAACCAATGTGCAGATGCTCCTTGACTTTAAATGGGGTTACACCCTGATAAATCCATCATAAATTGAAAATATCATTAAGTCAAAAACACATTTAATACACCTAACTACTGGACATCATGGCTGAGCTTAGCCTGTCTTAAATGTGCTTAGAGCATGTACATTAGTTTACAGTGGGAAAAAAATCATCTGGCAACACAGGGCACTGTAGGATTTTGGTTGTTGACCCTTGTGATCCTGGGGGCTGACTGGGAGCTGTGGCCTCTGCCCAGCATTGTGAGAGAATACCATACCACATATTGCTGGCCAGGAAAGATCAAAATTCCAAATTCCTTTTTTTTAAAAATTGGACTCAGCATTTTCTTTCTTCCTTTTTTTTTTTTTGAGTCATGGTCTCACTCTGCCATCCAGGCTGGAGTGCAGTGGTATGATCATGGCTCACTACAGCCTTGACCCTCTGGGCTCAGGTAATCCTCTCACCTCAGTCTCCCAGGTAGCTGGGACTACAGGCATGTGCTACCACACCTGGTTAATTTTTAAAAAAATGTTGCAGAGATGAGGTCTCACTGTATTGTCCAGGCTGATCTCAAACTCCTGGGCTCAGGAGTTATCCTCCATCCTTGGCCTCTTCCCTCCTTGGCCTCCTAAAGTGCTGGGATTATAGGTGTGAACCAACATGCCCTGCTCCAACTTCTAAGTGTAGTTTCTATTGAATGCATTTAACTTTTGCACCACCATAAAACTGAAATATCACATTAAACCTTCATAAGTTGGGCACTACCTGCATTGCAGATCAGTGTATGAATAATCATTCCCTAAATTTAATTTATATTTCTACCAGGAATACATAAGGAAATAATTATTCATTTTATAGAAATCTTCACCATAAGATTTTTTTAAAAGTTCTATTAGTGAAACTTAAGATGTGACAATTTTTTCTTAGGTTCTGCTTTCTAGCAACATAACTATTGTAAAGTCTGAAATATATTTTATTAAGAATGCAAACTAACTTTACTTTGAAATATTTCAAATGGTATGTTACCTGCATTAAAATAAAAAAGGTTATTCTCCAACTTAATTGTATCAGACATATTGTCTGATCTCCTTTGGATCTTGGAAGTAGCAGTACCAAGAGGGTATTTGGAAAGACTTGTCTCCCCACCCATTCCTGAAAATAATATTCAGTCCGGGGACAAGTGGCTTCAGCCACCCAAATAAGTTCACCTAGTGTAAAACCAGTGTGAAACCAGTATGTTTACTGGGAAAATACAGCTTTAAGGAGTCTAGTCGTCTCTCAATTGAACTGCTGCTCCTAAACCTTCCTATATAGAGAAATTCTGGAGCTGCCATTGGACAGCAGTCTATATACATAACACTTCCCATACTAGTTCCATGATTCATAAAGAAATAAACACTCATTACTGATTACTTTTAGGCATGGTATAGCTGCATTGCTACTCTCACAAACTCTTTAGCTGAAATCTCTCTTAAAAGTGAGTATGTCTCTAAGCACATATACTAACATTTTATTATGATACTGCTGCTTGTAGCGTGGAACAAAAGTCGGTCGAGGAATCTAACAAAAGTTCTCCATGACCTTGCTACTCAAAGTATGATGCTAAACTGTGGGCAGCACTAAAACAAAAACTACATAATTATATCATTAGATGCAGAAAAAGCTTTTGATAAAATTCAGCACCCCTTCATGATAAAAACCCTCGAACATCTAGGCATAGGTGGAACATACCTCAAAATAGTAAAAGCCATCTACGAGAAACCCACAGCCAGCATACTCCTAAACAGACAAAAATTGGAACCATTTCCCCTGAAAACTGGAATAAGACAAGGATGCCCACTCTCACCCCTCCTGTTCAACATAGTTTTGGAAGTCCTAGCTAGAGCAATCAGAGAAGAGAAGGCGATTAGGGGTATCCAAATAGGAAAAGAGGAAGTCAAGTTATCTCTCTTTGCAGATGGCATGATTGCATACCTTGAAAACCCAAGAGAATCAGCCAAAAACCTCCTTGCATTGATAAAGGACTTTGGCAAAGTCTCAGGGTATAAAATAAATGAACAAAAGACAATCGCATTTCTATACACCAATAATAAACAAACAGAAACCCAAATAAAGAGCACAATTCCATTTACAATAGCCACACACACACACAAATAAATACCTTGGCATCTTTCTAACCAGAGATGTAAAAGAACTTTACAATGAAAACTACAAAACACTGCTCAAAAAAATCAGAGATGACACAAACAAGTGGAAAAATATTCCATGTTCATGGGTTGAAAGAATCAACATTGTTAAGATGTCCATTTTACCTAAGGCAATCTACAGATTTAATGAAATACCCATCAAATTACCAGCAACAGTCTTCTCAGACCTAGAAAAAACAATACAGGAATTCATATGGAAACATAAATGACCAAGAATAGCCAAAACAATCCTCAGCAAAACAAAAACAAAAAAACAAAGCAGGAGGTATCACACTCCCAGGCTTTAAACTTTATTACAAAGCTACAATAATCAAAACAGCCTGGTATTGGTACAAGAACAGGCATATAGACCAATGGAATAGAATTGAGATTCCAGAAGCAAAACCTCAATTTCTCAACCAACTCATCTTTTTTTTTTTTTTTTTTTGAATTGGAGTCTCACTCCATTGCCCAGACTGGAGTGCAGTGGCCGCTCCCGGCCACCGCAGCCTTGACCAACTGGGCTCCGGCGATCCTTCCGCCTCAGCCTTCCAAGTAGCTGGAACTACAGGCGCACTACCACGCCCGGCTAATTTTTTGATTTATTGTAGAGATGAGGTCTCGCCTGCCCAGGCGGGGTCTCGAACCCACGGACTCAGGCAATCCACTCACCTCAGCCT